AACTCCTGACCTCAAGTGATCCACCCGCCTCGGCCTCCCAAAGTGCTGGGATTATAGACATGAGCCACCTCGCCCGGCAGACTCTCTGGTCTTAAAGTTTGAAGCTTATACTGTTTTATTATAGTTCCTTCCTCAGGAAAGATCCTCAGGCCTCTCAAAAAAGTATCAAAAGGTGATTCTGAGAGAGCATTTGATGAAAAAAAAAAGGTATCAAAAAACTGAAACACACCAGATGACGGCATCCAGACAAGGATACACCAGACCCCTCATCATCATGATCGCTTCCTTGTGTCTCCCTCATTCCTGTTCCCCCCACACGGTTACATTTCTTCCCTGCTATATAGACCCCTGGTTTTCGTAGGTCAGGGAGATGGATTTGCACCTGGTCTCCCATCTCCTTGGCTGCAGCACCTGACTAAAGCCTTCTTCCTTGGCAATACGCCTCTCAGTGATTGGCTTTTTTTGTGCAGCAAGCTGCAGGGCCTAGACCTTATCCCTGGGGTTTCTGTAACAACATCAGCCAGTGGTGTCTTTCATACGAAGCATCTCCTGAAGGAAACGGCCCATCCCGTATCTCCTGCGGAGGGAAGGGTGGGGAGACTCCCTTTGGCTGCCATTTGAGCTGGCACGGCTGTGTCTCTACCACATGTCCTTTATCCCCACCAGCCCTAGCTGCCTGTACCAAATATAGCCAATCTATGGACCAGTTAGAGATACGTGTGGTTATCTCTGCAGAAGAAACCCAAAATAATAGTGGCTTATACAAAATAGCAGTCTGCATCTCTCTCATGCCAAAGCCCAAGCTCTGTTCCAGCAAATTATTCGGGGCTCCGTTCCTCCTACCTTGTTGGTTTACCATCCCTAGGGTGCAGACTAGTTCACACGGCCCATGATGATTCACTATGTTCCAGGCAGCAAGGGGCTGGGGGTGCTGGGGAGGGCAAGGGCAGGAATAATGATAAGCCTTGGGAAGCCTTGAGCCTATCTAAAAATTGGAGATTCTGTTGGAGAAAGGTCAATGAGACACTGTGGCTTGTATCCAAACAAGGACATCGCTAATTAGATTTTCTCTTGGCAATCGGAACTGGACAGAAACCTGGCACTGTAACGTGGGAAGGTAAGTGAAACACGCCCTAGCCTGAAGACCCGCCCACCCCTAGAGCTCCTGGGGAGTCTGCAAGACCTCCAGGCTCCAGCCTCCTTGGGGCAGCAGCCCTAGTTTACTGGTTCCTCTTGGAGACGTGGCTGTGGTTGGGGTTGAGGTGATTTCGGGATTGAAATTCCATTTTTCTGTATTCCGAGGTGCAATATGGAACAAACATCCCTGCTTACTTTAAACTGAGATCCCCTCTGTGCCCGCCGCGAAGGGCCGATGCATGGAGGCGCAGCAGCAGGGACGCCGCCGGGCGCCTCCCCTCCGAGGGAGCACGGCAGCCCGGGAAGGATCCCACGTGGGTCAGGGGC